TAGAGTTCCCTATGGTTTTTCACATAGATCTCAGAGGATGACAATTGAATTCCTTGAAACATTTCTCTGAAGACGTAATCTAGCCCTGGAATAAACCAGGAAATTCCGGTCCGGAGGTCCGTGGGAGGATCCATCTACTTTCCCCGATAGGCCACGCAACCTTTTCCACTGAAAGACTTTGAAAAGTCTTATCGCGTAAAAGGCCTCCTGCGGGATGACTGATTCCCTTGCATTCCCATGTGATTCCGCTCCTGGACGCCTTAGAATCTGGAAGGGATGTTTCTCGGGATATTCTCAGCTCTTGGCGATAAGATGGTATCTGTGTTGGGTACTACTCTTTCATCTCTCCCAGAAGAAGCAGTAGGGGGCCAAAGGATTCATTCTTATCTCTAAAAGTTGCTTAATGCTATAGGTGTAGTATATTTTTTTTTGTTCCGTATATCTTTCCACCACTGTGAAAAGTCGGTTTATGGTTGAGGAATGTGCGGTTTCCCAACAATGGGCCAAAGTTGGCCCGATGAAGGGCCAACAGGACATGCCCGTCAATAAGCCGGCTTAAACCAACCGTAAACCAACCATATGCCAATGATAGCCTAACTAAGGCTATCATTGGCATATGGCGGATTGAACGCACTAGGTACGAATCACTGAGCAACCATCGACAACAATAATTTTTTGAGACGTTCTCTTCAAATTCCCTGCAAGGATGTGAAACTTTGGCTTGTAGCTGAAGCTCTGTCTGAGAAGTTGAACGTCAGTTTCGTTTCGAGAACGTTTCATGTGAATTCCGTCTGATAAAAATATGCGTTCCACATGTGTAATCGATTCCATGACCTTATGAAAAACCCTTTTAGCGAGCTCTGAAATTCGCGGGCATTAATGACCACGATAGCAGCTGAATAAATACTTGTCAGTGTTCCCACTCTCACCTGTATTTAATCAACTGTTTTTGCTTTTTCTTCACGGGCGCCTGGGACGAACACGACTTCTGCCTGTTTGCGTTGCCACAGGCTCCTCTAAATCACTCCAGTCCGACACCATTAACTTTTCTAGCCGTCACTCGTGGCGTAGGGCTCCGCGAAGCAACCTGGCAATTTCGTCATGCAAAACTATCGCGCCCATGATCATAGATCAGAAATGAGAAAATATGTAGACATTTAGGAAGCACGAGTGACGATCAAATTCTGGACACGACCAGAAAATCCTGACATTAATTGTTCGGAATCTCGAAGCAAGATTGTTATGGACAGAAAGTCGAAATTCAGGGCTGCATGGAAAATGGAGGAACGGTCACCGTAATGCGCAGTCCGGAGAACGGGAACTCGCAGTCCTGCAGTCCGCGGGTTGGCCAGCCCTGCACAATGAGCTGCCTTCTTGGTGGCAGCGACCCGACGTACCTCCGGTGTCCACCAGGGAGTCCGCTTTGTGTTACCGTGGGCCACGCTGATTCAGCATGCGTGAAGCAAGTTGTAGCCACAGAGTCGCTGCAAATTAACATTTGTGATGCAATTTCACATTGCTTATGGAGATATCGGATGCATTGACAGCCGGATAATCGCAATACTGACCTGAGTGAAAGAAAAAATTCAAGGATAATCAGAAATTTTTATTCAGACCCCATTCAGCTGGTTTCAGTGCCAGACAGCACTGCTGTCAGTGCGTCAGCCAATTCCTGTGACCCAACAACGTTGATCTCCTCGTAGCCCTTCATCTCCATCTTGCACTTCCCCATCCATGACTGGATGTTCTCGAATTTGCTCAGGTCTCCCAGCCCCGTTTTCTGTCATCAAAACATCGAGTAAGGAGAAAAAAACACACCGCTACTGGAATGTTTACATCTGATAAACAGTCAAGGCTACTGCTGTGTTTGTCCCAACCGGTATGCTTATTTTTAGTGGGCCTCTTTTCCTGAAAGGAAAGAGACCACTTATGATCTCGTCCTGTCTGTGTCCGTGTGTCTCACTTTGATTGTCCGACGATAACTAAGAAAATATTGGCCTAACCAATGCGAGAATTGACAAGCAGGTGGATATTAACAAGATACGGGCTGAGTTCGTCTTGCGGCGAATTCGTACCGAAATTGGCATTTTTATTGCAAATTTTGGATTTGAAATTTGGTCACAGAGGGGAAGGCATGAGTACCCGTTCGCCCTTCAGGATCTGGATCCCAATGCGCATGCGCGTACGACCCAGGCCTTGGCCGCGGTGTGCCGTGTCAGCAACCAGAGCTGTCAGTTTCCTACCAACCTTTGTGCGGACGGTTACAAGCATGCACAACCCTCCATCCTCCCATCATCGTTTCAAAAGCACCATGGCTAGGTTTTCAAGCGTAACTGAAAAATGATGTTTTTTGATGGCCGAGGACCGGGAAGAGATGCCATTTTGTTCAATTAGGTGACTAAATGCGGGTCTCCTTAAATGAAATAAGGCCCACTACTGGACTGGGCTTGCTCATATTGTTTCTATTATGTGCGAGAATTTATTTCAGAATTTTCTGTTCAGCCAAACAAGGATCTTCAAAGATGGCTAGTAAAACATCTGGATGTCTCCGTTCGTCCTCGGAGACTCGCTAAAATGAATGCACGATGGCTTTACGCCTGGACGAAAGCATTCGGCTGCGATTTTCATTGAAGAGTCGCTCTTAGAATGAAGTCAGTACACGTCTTCGTTTAGAAAGTACGCTTCAATACTGCTCTGTCTGCCTTAGACAATTGCATGATCACAATTGATGCGATAGACAAAATGGAGTGAAAACGATCAAGCATAATGCCTTTCCTTTTCCCGCGAGAAGCTAACAACGGCCGGAGATTTATAACAATTTTGCTCAAAATGTTTTGTGGGTGAATCAATTGGCGTAAATTTCACAAATTTTCTCGATCCAAGACAAGAAGTAAATGCATTTATACGGGAACATATCTTCCTGTAGCAATGATAGATTTCCTCATACACCCTCATACAAATTCATACAGCGGGCGTTTTTTTCTCCGTACCCGGTGCAGTATAATCCCATCCAGATTACATGATCTGGAGGAGTATATCTACTCTCTTCCTGGAGGTTCCAATTTCGAAGGAGTCATGCGATTCTCGTCATAAGGCCTTACAGTAAATATTGTTAGGATCGTAAGGCGGAGTGATTCGTCGTTTAAATAACTTGATTAGCTTTTTCGTTCTTGAACTTCTAAACTACACATCCGCTCTACCCGAGACACTGAAAATACTGCTGTTCGGCTGGCCCAGCTGGCGGACCTGTTGCTACGACTTAGAGGAACTCCGCATATTTGTAGTATAAGTAGTACAGCATGAATATAGGTACTACAACATGGATTATTCTGTTGATTTTGGTGCAGCAATTCATTAAAATAAATTAAGTCTCCCTCATTTTTTGCATGAAGTCTCCATCGCCACAATGTAATAAAGCTAATTTCCTCTCCGGCCAACTGTTTGTTTCAGAATGTATCCCTAAATTGCGGAATATCACCTTCATTCAATACTCCCCGACGACCTCCGCTCAAAAAACAAACCAACTTATGGAAGCAAAGACAGTGGTACATGAAGCGGTTACGAAAAACAGCGGTATTAAATAATAAAAAACAGGACATGCGTTGAATGCACAAGATAACGGAAATTTTAGAGTTAGGAGAGAGGAAGGAGGTGCCTGCTTCGCCAAGGCGTCACGACCGATATACTTTTTTCCTCAGACAAGATCTCTCCTCCACGATGCAGGAGGAGGCCTGATGTGGGGCTCATGAGTTGCCTTGACTGGCAGGAGCCATTCTTTAATATCGCTCCCCTATATCCGTATCTAACAGATGTGGCACATGGAATGGCATGTGTTACCCAGACGTCATGTTTAGACGCCGCGTAAGGAAGTTGAGTCGTATGTCGGCGCTGAAGAGCCCGAAGGCGCCAGGGCCCGATTCCTTGCCAACGTGATTTAATCGGAAGCCTGTAACTTCCTTGGACATCCAATCATGTTTGTGTAACAAGGAAGCGTCTTTGCACACCTCAAATGAGGCAGCGACTGCGACCAAGGCGTAGTCGGCGAGTGTGAGGTGCTCCCCAGCCGCGTACCCGCCAGATGTCTCGATGAACTTGTCCAGCAATCCCAGCACCTCCTCAATTCTCTCCTTTTTCTCCTCGCTCACTGTCTTCGTCGAGCCAGGAATATTGGCTTCTATGAAAGAAAAGAAACAAGGAACAAATGTGAATCGTATTTTCCTCGATGTAACTTCCCCGCTCACCCACGTTTCCCCTAAATACGTATTAAAGAGAAAGTTAGGATCTTGTTTTTTTTTCCCTCATAAATATTCATACCTATGAACCCAAAGAAGCTGGAAAGCAGGAAAAAGCGGGGCAAATTGGAGAGTAAAGAAGAGGTAATCATAAATAGCCAAGATTTTCAGGAAAGGTAATTTTATTAATTGTGCATAACTCACTCCCTTTTTGAAGAACTTGGTGAAGCGACATTCCCGCAAGTTTTTCAAGAGGGAGCGAGAACTCCATTCCCATTTTCCATGTTTCTTTCAGTAAAGTGGAAAAAAACCTGCTGCAGATGTGTGCTTCTGGAATTATTCACAAATTCACAATATGCTCTGAAGTTATGAGATGCTTAAAAAAAAAAAGAAACATGACAGGAAATTTTGATTACTGCTGGGGTGGGGAAGGGGGGGGGGGCTCAGTCCTTCGCTCCTTTCTTATTTTTGCTTTATTCATAATTCCACATGTAGACTTTCATCGCTGTGATGTGGCTGGAGCGTATAATACGAGTATAATTAGAATAATGTCTCTTGGATAAAATATATAGACACGATTCAACGAAGTATATGGATAACATAGTAAGGGTTATCGTTTCTACTCCAGAAGAGGCGTAAGGGAAGTCTTACATGATGACTTTCACTTTTTCCCAGCTATTAACTTATTTGGAATCCGTACAACAGTGTTGAGAAGGGCCGGAAAGAAGGAGCAGCAGTCAAAATCCAGTCTTTGATCCACCATTCCACGCTCCTTCAGATCTTTCGGGTGCAATTTGTCGTCCTTGGCAAACTTGCTGCATACATAGCGCAGGATGGCTCGGCTGTTCGAACAATGAATGAGTACATTCCCAATAATAATTATTTAAAAAGTGCACTCATGAAAGGCTTGGAAATCCGAATACGAACTTGAGATTACCTTTCGTGAAGGATGTATCCGTCGTCATCCATCGTTGGGATTGTGTGCTGCGGATTCATCTATGGAAGCGGTGAAACCCATCTTTCAATCACAGTAAGTAATGATGAGAAAATACGATATGCGAATTTTGAAGAGAAACAATGTCAGAGCCGTAGTCTTCAAGTGACGATTACGTTCTTGCACCTTGTCTTTTTGTAGAACGGAATTTCACGAAAGTTCTTCCGCAATGCAAGAAGCTCGTCATCTTCGACGATTCGAACGAGACAAACTCAATCGACTTCGAGCTACGTAGTACCTTAATACCGTTACTTACATTTCTATGCCCATATTGAAGACATTGGCCTACCTTGAGGTACTCAGGAGTGAGATGAGCCGATACATTGAGGTCGGTACGCTTGAGGTTGAGTTCCACGCCCAAATCCTTGGCCAGAAGCATGACACTTCGGCAGGGCGGACTGGACAGCATGTAGTACAAATCCATCGTCATGGTCGCGATGCGTTTGATACGACAACGATAAGAATCTTCACGAGAACCTACGTTCTGGTGTGCAACAGCACGTCTTGACTCTTTCGAAGGACCTTCATCGGGATAAAACCTTTCGATCAATGGAAGGAATTCACGCAAGTGCTGGAACGAATGGAAGTATATTGCAGAAAATACTTCCATGGTTTCTTTCTCGATCGAGAGAGGAAGGAGAATTGCAACAGGGCCTCGTTTCGAACGAATCACGATTTGCCGAGCGGGACTTTCCAAAAATTTCACTTTTCTGGGAAAATCCCATTCCGTTCTCGTGGTAGAAAGTCGATCGTGAATTCAAAAAGGACGGTCGACGAGGAAAGAAATCGACCTGGAGGATCTTCCTGATTTACATACAAAAAAACGCAGCGTGTCTCGATGGGATTTTGAGATACCCGAGAGTGGAGACTCGAGACTCCAGTCGATGACATAACGAACTCGATATAACGAACAAGTCACGAGTATTCATTCGAAACTTAAGTCAGCCGCTCGAACCTAAAGGATTTCTTGGAGCTGGGGTCTGCAGAAGACTTCGCGTTTTAAAAAGTTTTCGGGTCGACGCTCGGCCTGTGGCTATGAATAAAGGCGCCATCACACGCTATGATTTTGCTCTTATATGACTGGTTCCATATGAGTAAATTTGCTATGAGCGGGTGATTAGACGCTATGAGAAGCCCTTGTGAGTTTTCAGGGTGAAACTTTGACTGCTGGAGTAATTTTGTTACTGGTTGGAACTTTATTGAGGAGGGTTAGAGCATGTCAGCGATGTCGAAAATGTGACAGGTGTGTGTGGATGTAAAAATGGCTGGCAAGGAGGCGAGAAAAGGGTTTCGAAGCCAATATTTTCCGAGAATTACGGGATGAAGATCCCTATCGTTTCCGTGCTCATCTGAGGATGAATATTGACACCTCCATGGAAATACTGATACTCGTTGAACACAAAATCGAGAGAATTGATAGAGTCATACGGGAAGCGCCATGTTACCTGACCATACCAACCAATCAAGGGGCATACTTGCTATGAATGGTCATAAGAAAGTGAAGGATGTCTCGAGACCTTGTGAGTTGGAATCCCACTCATACGAGGATGTGAGTCTATGAGTCGCTCATAGACCCCGATTACACGAGCTCATATCTCACATGGAAGCAGTCATATATGAGCAAAATCATAGCGTGTGATGGGGCCTTAAGCCGGAGATAGTCGAAGGCTTTCATTGCTTGATCCTGCTGATCCTGATCATTGCTGAGGATTCGAGACTCGGCCTTGCCCGGATTCTTGAGATAATCCTGAGAAGATTAAGACTGACTGACGTCGTTCCCTTACTCCCCAGAGCCACATCCATAAGGACGTGCTAAATTTGGATATGAGATGAGATTTTCCCGGGAATGCGCGAAAGAAAGTAGCTCTGACACGTGCAGCAGATTTTAACTTCGTAATACGGAACAGTTTTGTTCCTTTCGACGAAAAAATGAGTCAGTAAAACCGAACGATTCGTTATACAGAACTTCGTTATCGAGAAACTTTTCAGCATGCATGTGAATTGGCGAACGGCCAGGAACTTGAAAAAAATTCATATCAAAGAAGATTCGTCGTATAGAATTTCCGTATATCGAGCGTCGACTGTGCGTATAAAATACCTGGCGAACTACTGAATCGCTTACACACAGAAAATTCAGTGCCTCAGTTCGATGCATTTTTCTCGCGAAAAAATCTGTCCTCCATGTGATGCGTCTTTATCGCATCGAATTTTGGATGCGATAAAAAAGGCACGGTTGGGAAGCGAGAGATATAAATCGAAAATCCAGCTGATGTCTTTTTCTCTTGAGAAAAATAAATCGAAATGCGAAAATTGAGAGAAGTATATCGTCTCGATTCACCGATTTCTCTGAGTGTACTCCACGATGATTTACATAGATTGAATTTATCGAGGGAGAGAGAAGAAAGAAAATGCGATTACCCATCGATGCCTGAATCCCCCCTTATACCCCCCCCCCCCTCAAACCTCACTTCATTAGACCTCAAAGAGGATTTGGTGCATTAGTGCCGATTGCTTTCGGCGATTCAGCGAGCATAGGCAACGTGCAATTACAGTCCTGATTATAAAAAAAAGCGAACGGGTCTCTGAGGAACGGAACGAGATCGGCGAATGTGGTCACGTGTGCGAACAGTACACGGTGGGTCCTGATCACCCATAAAGTTTAAGCTTCACCTTTTGATCGAAACCATTTTCGGAGCAATCGATAATGATTATACTTTTTTCGATCATCGTGGTGCTAACGATAAAGCAGCGTTGGAAATTTGTTTTCCAAGGATCCGAAAGGCCTGGCATTGTATGTATTAGTCTGAAGGACCAGACTTCATTAGGAGGGAGGTAATGTGATGAAGGCACTGTTGAGAGGCACGACTGAATGTCCTGGGTTCGGCACCTGACCGGCAATCAGGAGGCCCGGCTTCAATTCCCGGCCGTCCCCTGGCTTTCTTTCGCCCTCTCTCGTCCATCCAACCTCCCTGCCTTCAGTTCTTCACGTCACACTACAATATCGGTCCCTCCGATATGAATAGGAATTCCAGTTGATGCCCTTTCCTCTTGAAAAAAAAATTGAATGCGAAAATTGATCAAAGGGTATTATTTCGATTCATCGATTTCTCTGTTAGTACTTTCAATGCGAGATTTTATGTCCGTGAGTGATTGCCCACCTATCTATAATCCCAAGAAACTGCATCCCTTTTTAAATTTCTATCCCGACTCTCGCTCCCTCCTTGGAGAAATGAAGATCATCCCTAGTCGTCGGACGCGCACATCGCCTCATAGCCTCCCTGGTGTCCAAAAACGCCTCCCCCTCCGCGATACAAACCTCCTCCAACCCATCACTAACTCCTTTCGATCTAGACGATGTCATGCCTTCCTTATCCAATCGGCTTGGAATCGCGCTCACCGTCACCCTAACGTCCGAGGGTGACGACGCGCCCTTATCATCTGCCTAAGCTTGTCAGTGATGGTCTCGGAGCCAGACTGGGAGTATTGTTGGTCCCGACGTGCAGAACCATCGACACCACCTCGGCTGACTTCGAGGACAACTTTGCCCCTTTCCTGTCGCTGATATACCCCTATCCTTGCTCCGGAAAACGGAGTGAAAGTAATCGACACCGCCCGCTCGATTTCTTCCTTATAGCAGCTTCCAGACCCCTGACGCTAGGATCTCCATCAAGGAGCACAGATAGACTTTTTGTATCCTCTCGGCCTGATCTCACCTTCTCGATCCTCCCCCGTACTGACTCACAAGAAATGAAACCACCTAGCTCAGGGGTGTCAAACATACGGAGGTAGTTCATCCGGCCCGCCGTCTGTTCTTGAAATTTCCGCTTGGATTGACTGTTAGAACAAATTTCGGTGGAAAAGTATGGGTACGGCCCGCAGGCATCTGCAGGATAAGGAATGTGGCCCGTAGACCGATTTGAGTTTGACACCCCTGACCTAGCTGAATGAGTACACCAGAAATAATAATCATAATTTTTGGTGTATATTATGATAATAAATAATAATAAAAAAGACCAACAGATGCAACTGCTAAGAAACTGCAGAGCTAATAAAGTCTGGTCTCTTTATTTACCCTCAGGGATAAGTAGCCAAAAATCTTCTGTATCACTGAGTTATAGACATTCTCTTGCTAACTTACGACTGTGTTGACAGACCCAGAGGGAAGTACGTCCTCACGTTACGAACACTCGACGAAGACTCGTATCGTACGTTTCCGTAAGCAAACCGTTGTCAAGAATTACAAGGTCAGATTTATCTTGTAATGACACCCCCGATGCCTAGCGAGTGACACTGTGAAGCCTCGATTACTTGGCATTTAACAGATGGTAAGCACTTATACTTCTTACTTCCCTGCAGCCCACTTCCAGTCAAAGTCTTCGAATGGGGTTTCGCTAATGTGTTGTGGTTATGAGAGGATGGAGATTTCTCTTGGCCCCCTTGAGTCTCCCTCGGCGTTCTCAACAGGAGTCAAGGCTGGAATCCATGATCCAAGTCCCAGGCGTCTGGGACATAAGCCTGTCTATTTTGGAAAGTTATAGGTTTTCTAATTCAAATGTTGACAAAATAAAGTCAAATGCGTTACTGAGCTGGTTGAGAGGATCAAAAGGGACATAAGGAAAGGTCAAATGCGACAGGTAGACAAGGTATACCATGCACGTGTTAGGCGGATACCTTCTCGTTGCATTTTCACTACGTCCGGCTTCGGGTACATTTACATATGGTGCTCCTATTTCCGTTAAGATCAGTCCGAGGATCGAGTTCCGTGTCGGGTGGGGGGCAGTATTCGAGTCGGGCCGATCGGGTTGAGTTCGGAAAGTCGACCCGTGCAGGCCTCCGGCGGACAGAGAGACGGAGGACGTTGGCTATTATTAAAGAGTTAGGTGGGATTCCAGTCTGAGGGAGCATTAATGGACCTTGAGCCTTTTTCGTCTGGTAGCATATCGTACATCGTGTACTGTGTGTTTCAGGTGTTATGAGATACGAGGGGCGTTCAAAAAGTTTTTCCCTGAGGCACTTTAAGCTGTAATACACCATTCATATTTTTTTCATAGAAAGACAGATGTCTTTGATGATGAATGGAAAATTTTCAACTTATTTGTCTATGATGGAAAGCCTCTATGAATTTTTTTCAATGCGCTACCAAGGAGTCTGATGAAGGGGTATTAAAATTGAAAAGAATGCTGTGATGAATTTTCTAACCTTGAAGGAGTCGGTTTCTAAGCAGATCTTTTGTCGGCTGAGAGGATACTGTATTATTGACCCTACTCTGCAAGATCCAAGAAGGAAAATGATTCCTTCAAGGTTAGAAAATTAATTCATTTATGATTCATTTGTGCAACCTATCGTCGTTTTCTAGCAGGCATTGGTTATCCAATCGATTCTGGAGCATCATTGCAAAAGTTTAGTTTTTTAAAACTGTTTCTTGTTTTCTCTCTACACACCCTTGCGCTAAATTGTATTTTATTGCGTTTTGATTGCTACTGATTTAGACTGAATACTTGCTAATAAAGTTAAATTCCATCACTTAGCTCATTAGGTAAGTGTAGGTAAGGACTAATTCCTGAAATTGTTCCTGCTGCCTTGGAAAGCCTCAGATATTTATGCTGCAAG